GACTCCCTGTTGGGGTCTGGATTTTTTTTAAGGCTGCCTCCCAACCCTTCCTCCCTCCCTCCCTCCCTCTCTTCAAAGAGACGAGGCTTGACATCCAGGTGTTTTATAGTATTTGTGGCTCTGATCATCCATCAAGCCGATCGATCACTCTCCCAGCAGCTTTTATTAATGATCTTGTCAGCCAGCCAGCTCTCGGGTGCAGCCGCTTGTCCAGAATGATAGATCATTAGCTAGTCTGCCTGCTATTTATTCTCTCATGACCTTGTCTCTCTCCATTGTTGAGCGGGCCGAGTTATGAGAGCTAGAACATGATAATTCACTATTGATTCTGTATTTTTTTTTTTTAGCTGTGTTCAACAGCAAAGACACATACAGTGGCGGAAAAAGTAATAAAAGCATTTATTTAAGTAAAATGGCAATAACACAAGATACTGCATTATAAGTAAAAGTTCTGCATTCAAAATGTCATTTAAGTAAAAATACAGAGGTTTCAGCAACAAAAGGGACTTAAATGATCAAAAGTAAACCCTATGCATCTTTAGCCAGGAAAATGGACCTATTAATCTTGACCTATGGCCTCTGATGACATGTGCCAAGTGCATAAAGATAAGGACAAGGACAAGAGAAGTTTTAGGCAGAAAGTTTCACTTTAAAAAGTTGCCCATATCACCTCAAAAGGAAAACACTCAACAGAATCTATCCCTACAGGGCCCCCAATCGACATTGCAAGAGTGTAGTACTCATGGACGAATAAGGACACCTGTACGTGAGAAGGTAGCTAATGCTTTGGCTAACCACCTCCCAATTAACATAAAGAACAACATAAAGAAGACAGACTGAGAGACATCATTCGAATTGCATCAGGAGAAGCTTCTTATAATCCACCCTCGAGAGGAACCATCGTGTCAAGAATACACACTTTGTATGAAGGCAATAGGGCACGGAGGATAAACATGCCTGAGTGAGCAAAGGAAGTTGCTCTCACAGGGGACGGTGGGACTTCTGCATACACTGACAACTACTTGGGCGTCATAGCACACTTCACTGATCAAGAATGGAATCTGCGATGTAACTGAGTAAAACAGAAGAGAACTGTATTTTAATTTAAATATACTGCCATTGTGTCAATTTTACATCAATACTGTGATTTTACATTTTAATATCCTTTATTACAAGCTTCAGTCTTAGCGATTAATTTCGATTAATCACAGAAAACATTTTTTTTAATCGAATGGCAGCACTAAAAAATTGTGCAGAGAAAGTATGCAGAAAGGTCCTTATTGGTGTCATATTAATATACTTGTACTTATATTATTACTGATGTAACACTGTAACACTGTGACAGCTTATTAGTTGAGATTCAACTGATAATACACCACTTTGGTTAAGGTTTAATTAGATTTAGGCATAAAATACATCTTTGTTAGCTTATGTTCATAAATTGTCACACTATAAATAATCTATTAAACATCTACAGACAAAGTGAAACAGTTGAAATGTTACTATCTACTTTAAAATGTGGACTATCCAAAAGAAGTTTTACTGTGTAATAACATAGCATTAGGAGGAGCTGTGGCACAGTGGCTAAGGAGGTAGATCCACTAATCAGAAGGTTTGTAGTTCGATCCCCAGCTCCTTCCTCTGAATGTCGCAGTGTCCTAGCTCAAGATACTGAACCTCAAACTGCTCCTGATGCTGTGCCATCGGTGTATGCATGTGTGTGAATAGGTGAATGTGACATGTAGTGTTAAGAAGTGGTCGACTGATATGGGTTTGTTTTATTAATGGCACATGCTTTTTCACTTGTAAATATGCAGAATACCTAGACTTTTTACAATGACTTGACCTTCATTTAAAAAAACATGTTGTGGAACATCACAGACAATCAGACAAACATAATCAACAGATAGTAATGAAGGACAGGAAAAGAAAGGAAAAAGGAGAGAGATAGAAAGAGAAAAAGGTCAAAAGAGAAAAAGGCAAAGAGAAAACAGAGAGCGAGTCAGCAGGAGTTTCACAGGAACGAAGCCCGAGGCTGAGCCAGTGAGGTGTAAGTAGCTTTAGAATAAACATGAGCTCCATGTAAACAACAACCTGCCACTACAAGCATCGGTTACGCACCCACACAGACCTGCTGGGGTTCTGGATTCACTGATGTGTGTTTGTATGAGTGTGCACTGTATACTCAGGGTGTCCCTGGGGCTGAAGCGCCTTGCCTGTCATCCTCCCATCACTCCTCTCTCTACCCACTTACATCCATAAAGCCTGTCATGTTGATCAAGTAGCTACAGGCCCGAAGCCTTTTGTGACTGTCAAAAGTGTGCACATGTGAATATTTGACTGTATAATTGTAGCCTGAGTTTCTGTTTGTGTCTATGATGTACAACAGACCAACAGTGTAGAAGTGCTCTGCCATTAATTGAGAGGCTGTGTTTCTGCAGTTTACTACTTCAGTGAGCTGACCTTCAGTATTCAGAGAGAAGAGGGAGGAACTTCTTTCTCCTCCAGAATCATTCATGATGGATGGCTTTCATGTTCAGAGCAGAATGACGGGCTGACAGGGGAGTCAGAGTGACAGAGGATGAGTTTCAAAGTAACATAATGCATGTCCAAATGTAAACTTTCAGAGCACAGGGAGCACATTACTACAGTGCTGAGATCTCGGCATTAGCTGCATAGTGATGTTTAAAAATAAATGTTAGTTATTACACATGAGGCACTGCAGTATGTGCATTTACTGTCTGTGCCCCAAAACTTTGAAATACTTTACTATTAGATAATCCCATGCAGTCTACATTAAAAAAACTTTGAAAACATAATTCAGTTAGTTAATAATGGTTCAACATTTTGGGGAATAGAGTTAGATGAGAACACTGAAACCACTCTCAGTAGCAGTAACTATAAAGCCGGGAACCGGGGAATAGCTTGTATGGCTCTGTCCAAAAGTAACAAAATCTGCCTACTAGCATCTCTAAAGGTCACTATACTTAACATGCTACTTCGTGCTTGTTAATGGGGGGTTATGTGGCAGACTATTTCTGGGCCATAACTTCTCGGGGTCTCTGCTCATTGCCAACCTCACATTGACATTAAAACTCCAGGCTAGCTGTTTCCTTGTTTCCAGTATTTATGCCAAGCTAACTGTTAAGTGGTTCTTTAATTTATTCTATTCTGAAGTACTTTGTGGCTTTTTGTTCAGAAAATGTCTATATAAATAAATATCTACCTACTTGCTTGAATGCAATACTTTTTATTGGTTCATACCTGTCCTTGTGTCCTTTGTTCTGTTTATAACTAACTGCCCAGAGGTCTCTGTCAGCCCTGTGGCAAAGTAGCAAACTGTCAAGCTTTCTGTCTGCCTTCCACCAGGTGTATGCTGGGATACAATTCTGAAAAGTGGATAGAGAAAATGAATCAATGATTGAATGAACTGGCATTCAATCAGTGTGCTCGATGTAATAAAAATTCTCTGTTTGAAATGTAATACTGTTTCAATTCTTTGTTAGCTTGTGATGCCAGCTGGTTCCTGTTAGAACCTAATGTGTCCATCTTCTGAAGAGGAAGCTAAATTAAATATCATCTTGCAGGCAGGCTAACATTAAAAGTGAAACTGTGACAAAGTAAGAAGACACCAAAACAACATGACAATATGAACTCTCCTGTCATCTCTTTTTAACATCACCTGCCTCTTTTAAACCTTTGCCATTCTACCCAAACTCTCCATGTGTCTCGAACACATAAACAACCTCACTGGTGTCCCCCATAACCCACCCTCCAGGACCCTGGGGCCCAATAAGCAGCCATCTGCAGACAACCTCTTCCCACCACGCTCCAGCAAACACAGGCAGGGAGTGTTTGAATGAGTGTGTGTTTGAGAGAGAGAGGGAGGTGGATGTAGTTCAAGGGCACGAGTACTTCATCAAGCTCGAGTCCAGGGAATATCCACCAGCTTCCCCTCCCCCTTGTGTGCACCAGGGAGGCACAGGAACCCGTCCTGAGTGCCCCCCTAAACACACACACCTACAGTAGAGTGTACCTATTACTGCACACCAGCTCTATGCTCTTCAGTTTTGATTTTGACCCTCTGCTGCCTGCTGCAGCCTTGGCGTGGCAGCCCCTGCCTTCCTGCCTGTGGCCCTGGCCGACTCTCAGCTTTGGCGTGGGTGGTTGGGGTGGGGCATCGGGGGGATTTGGGGGCACTGAAGCTGTCCTCTGGTGCTCCTGCAGCCCTGCCTGCTCATCCATCCTGGCCTGCCAGCCCACAGATCGATAGCTCTGCTCTCTTAATCAGGTCTCTGGTGACTGTGGGCGGACGACTGTGTGTATGTGTGTGTGGACAGGAGGTTGTATCGGTTGGGGGTTGCACTCTTTCCATCTTCACTTCTCTGGCTGTTCATCACGACTGTTTATCTCAACTGTATTTTACTGCCTCCTTCTCTCTTTCCCCTTCTTCTTCGTCTCCAAATCCTTTGCATATCACCCGTTTAAAACCCTACACTGACTTTTTTATTCTGTCAGCCCCCCTCTCTATCAACTCTCTCTAGCCAGCTCTTGTTAAGGCTCCAATCTCTCCAACCGTCCTGCTTTATATTTTTTCCTCCTCTCTGTGGCTTTTCTTTCATCTTTTCATGCACTCCCTGCCTATTCTGGCAGCCCGCCAGGGCTCATTCAAAAGAAGTCTCACAGTCAAGTTGGTCTCGGTGCCACTGCAATCTGTTTTGACTTGTGATGAAGACAGAAGAGGCAGCAGTATTGGAGAAATGGAGATGAGAAAGGATGAGAGGTGAGAAGAGCGAGCGAAGCGAGAGGGTTAGTCAGATGAAGTGTGGGGCATCCAGCTGTGGTGTTGTGCCTTGCTAGAGAATCCGCCTTCAGGCTCTCATCACACCTGTGTAACCACAGCTGCAGACACAGACACACACACACACGAAAAAACACTATACATATACATACATACATACATATACAATATACAAAAAATAACTCCAAAACACTTCAAATTTAAATTTTTAGAAATTTTTAATTTCCAAATAAATATTATCTGTTATTTCAAGTGCTTCAGTGTGTGTGCATTGCCTAGAACCTAATATTAACACTGTTTTCTCACTGATCACATTTAAAAGTTCATCATGTCTCCTGTTCTACTACCAAATTGTCTTCTATTTTGTTTGGTGCAGGTGTAATTAACCATGATTCTTGATTTAAGTCACCCAACCCTATCACCAAAATTGTCACTCTTTATTCTCTAAAACAACAGAATATACCAATAAGAGCACTGAAAACACTCTTTACCAGTGGGTACCGCTGTGTTTAAGTATTATTGGAACTGTTGAGCATCCTGTTCATGGTATGTGCAATTATTCATCAGGAGCCAAAGAGACAAAACTAGCTGTTCCCATTTTATTAAGACAGATTGAACAGTCCATGCCACAGTTCAGCTGGGTGCAGACACTATATAAAGGATATTGACTTTGAAGTAACTATATCACATTTTTGCCCCAGTTATATACTACATACTAATTGTATGAAGTATGCACTATATATTAATCTTTATAGTACAGACTGCACCAAAAGTGCCACAATCAAATGAACTTCACAAAGAGAGCTAAATTATTTTTCCAAAGATGTTATACTTTTTTCTAAGAGCCGTCTTACTGCCATTTGCCATTTATTTATATTTTGTTTGCAGCTCCTTCATTTCCTTTGTACCGTACATTGTGGGGCAATAAAGTCTCCATTAAGTCATTTTCCATGAGGTGTTTATCCATTACTTTGTATTTCCTCTGTATACTTGTCTATGATGAAAGGATCTAATCTGATCTAAGGACCAGATGGGGACAGCCCGGAAAGTGACGTGCACCCGCAATTATTTAACCAGGAACGTGTATGTTGTCATACAAATCGAAGCGGTCCAAGTCATAGGAAGAAGTGTCGCAGGAGGTCCTTCTTGTTGACCTTGCCCATCTGATTCCTTGGCATCTCCTCCACCAGCTCCAGGCCCATGGGGATGGTGTAGGGCGGCATGTGCTCCCTGCAATAAACACTAATGTTAATACACTGAAGACTGTTTACTGCAGAGAGGGAGATAAACACAGACTCAACTCAGACAGGCATGTGCAAGGACATACACTGATCAATGTGCACACACGGATGGGAGTATGCACACACACATATGCAGCAAAAAAAGAAAAGAAAACAAAAGCAGAAAACAATTGCAAAACAAAGGCTAGCCCTGTGGCAGAGTAGTCGAGATAAGGAAAGAAATGTCCTTCATACACTCTGCAGCTCTCCTCCCTAATATCCACAATTCGCCTTCCAGACACAGACAATTCCCTTCGTACAAAACAATATAATCACTGTGAGATGAAATAAAAAAAAAACAAATAATAAAAGGAAAAACAGAAGGCTGGGATAATTAAAAGTGTTTTATTTTTTCCGTTTTGAGTGCATGGTTGTTACGTGAAGTCTTGAAGCCTGGAGCTTTTCTATTATCTTCTAACCTAGTTTGTTTGTTTGAGCCTAAGTGTGTGTGTGTGTGCCTGTGTGGTGCGAGTGAGCATAATGACTCATACTGCTGCCATCAAACACTCTTTTCAGCAGATGTCTCCGTCTCTCCATCTCTCTGACTCAGTGAGTAAAGTGTGAGTGAGTATATGTGCATACATACACTGTCTCTGTAATGGGGCTTGCTCATGTCACCAATTTCTCCAGGGCAGTGTGATTGTGTGTGTGCATTTAAGGGGGGGGGGGTGTTCAAGGCAGTGTGGGGCACAGAGGGTGTGATAAAGATTCAGACTGACAGCTGAAGCCAGGGCACTGAAGAGTGAGCATCCATCTACTTGTTTATGTCTCATTTTATCTCCCTCTCTCTCCCCCTGCACCCTGGCCTCAGCAGTGGGCTGTGTGCTGGCACTGCCTGTCTGCTGGCAGCACCCCTGGCTGCAAACACTGTGTGTGTAAGAGTGTGTGTGTGTGTGTGTGTGTGTGTTAACCTGGGTCACAGGCAGCAGTAGTAATCCACCATGCTGGACCAGCAGGCCACAGCAGTAGGATCTAACACCCCCGCACCATATGGAGCCCACAGCTCTGACACACACACACACACACACACACACACTCACACAAACATCCACACAATATGCAATCACACAGAATTCAGAGATGTGAATAAATGATAGTGGTGGGTAGTAGAAAGATAGCGTAAAACACAAAAAACAGATGGTGGGAAAGTGAAGTAAAGGTGGACAAATGAGTTTGACAAAATTCTATGTAGAGGGTGAGTAAAAGAGGAGAAATAAAAAAGGAGAGGAGTGTTTGTGCCTTCAGTCACTCCAAAGCAAAGGGCTGCATGTCACAACAAACTGTCTGCGTTAGACAAAATAAACTCTACTGACATTTAGAAAGGGAAGGAAAAAAAACAGAAGACAAAGCCCTCCGTAACAATCATTTCTTTGCTTCCTCCACATCTTCCTCTTTTTCATCTCTCGTCTTTTCCTTCAGCTCCCCTCATTAGTACATCTCTGGCCTCTCTTTCCCTCACATCCCTTTGTATTGATCTGAGGACTTCAGGGCTGATCACTGGGGATATGTGTGCTAAACTGCAGAGTCTGCATTAGGAGCCTTCATTTGTTTACCACAAATAATTTAAAGAGCTTCTTCTTGAATCAGTACGATAAGATTTAACCAAGAGCGGGTCAGCACTTATTTTCTGTGTTTTGTGAATTCAGGATCGTGGATTGGTTGTAAATTATTTCACCTGCTGCTGGTGACATAATCCTGTGAGAAATAATTTTATAACCCTGAAAACTTTTCACAGTGACTATCCTTTAAACCGCCTGCACAAATGCAAAGTAAACAGTTCAATTACGATGTTCACATTGCAAAGTCAAACTAGCTTTACTAGCGAATATAGTGCATTGCTGGATGACATTGCATCGCGTTAAAGCAAAAGTTGTGCCAGGCCAAACTTTTTTTGCTGGGCAACCCTGCATCTTTTTTCCCAGACACGAATGAAGGGGCTGTATATTTTCATGAAATTCAATTTCAATTCAATTCTCAGGACAGGTTAAGCAGGTCTAGACCATACTCTTTATGATATAATATTTACAGAGACCCACCAATTCCCACCATGAGCAAGCAGTAGCAATGCTGTTGTCTACCTGAACACAACTTTTGTCTGAAGGTTGCTGGTTTATACCCTTGTGTTTGCAAGCCTCTTCCCAGCTTTAGTGGCTGTGTTCACAAAAATCATCTAATCTCAACTACTCATCTGTTGCTAACTCTGGAGGAAAAAAATGATAACATGCCTATAAAAAAGTCAGTTAATAATCTATTATTAAACTGTGGCATGATTTTAGCATCATTTTGAAAACAATAACACTCAAATAAAGAGATTATCTAGTTGGAAGTTACAGTACCTTGCCCAGATCTTCAACTCAGGCAGGTCTATACTCTTCCCTTGCTTTAGCTGCACCACTGCAGTGACTTTCTGACCCCAGGTGGCATCTGGGACCCCTATCACAGCCACATCTGTAATGGTAAAATCACACAAAGCAGACATGTTGTTGTTAAGTTTCAACTGCTCGGTTTCCTTCAACTTGCAAGTATTAGTCAAACTGAAACTGTTTTTTGTTGTTGCATTGGCTCTGTACTTTGGCACATTGGTTTTAAAATGGAACAATGACTGGTGTCTTTAATTAGAGGGTGTTTATGTGCAGATCAGATGAAAAGTGTTGGAACTGTAGTCCTAATCTATTCAGTCTATTAATTTTAGGGGACAATAAAGAGCATCACCATCCTACTGTATTGTTTTGTGGGATGGTTGCATTGATTATATGCTGCATAAAAAGGGCAATCGTGTTGACCTAATATTGATGTGAATGCGCTGAAATTCCTTGACACTTTAACCTGATAGTGATTTCTTTTCACATCCAATGTACCACAGAACAGAGCCAAAACAATGACAAAAGCCTCCATGTCCTTCTAAAGACAAATCGGCACTCTTACCCATGATGTCTGGATGAGCCAGTAGGTGACGCTCCACCTCGAGTGCACTAATCTTGTAGCCACCACTCTTGAGGATGTCAACACTGCTGCGGCCCCTGATCCAATACACACCGTCTTTATAGACCACTGTGTCTCCTGAAAAACACGTACACATACAAAGAGAAAGGCAGTGCAAATGAAGTAAGAAAGTGTCAAGGTCCATATATTTATAAAATGTTATTGTTTATCAGCAGGTTAAAAAGGATGGATTGATCGAGAAAAGTCTAATGGTGTTTATTTTGCATTTTTAAACAAAAGTCTACATCCATGCTAGTGGATCTGTGAGGCTGTACTTGGACACAATGGTGGCACCATGGATATCTCTATCAACTTTTACGGTAATCCACCACATAGTTGGTGAGATATTTCATTTTGAACCCAAGTGGTTCCATGACGTTAGCATGGCCGAAGTTTGAACGTGTATTGTTCAGCAATGCAGAAAATCTGCATTTTCTTTTTCATTTTTGTTTTCTCTTTTATTACTTGAAGCATATTCTGAGCTGTGCTTGCTACAAGACAACTTGATTTGCTATGATTGCTTGCTATGAATGATTTCTTGGAGGAGACAAAACATCAACTTTTGAGTTTGTGGGGAAAAATCTGAGCAAAAAAACAGAATATATAAGTAACATTCATGTCACCTTTGTGACTAGATACAAGACATATATGGTATGTAAACTTGGTTGAGTATGAGCTGTCTGTGTGTGTGTGTGTGTTTGTGTCTGGAGGATGATGTTGGGGGAGATCTTAAAACACCCATCCATCCAATGCACTCACTCACTCACTCTCTCTCACACACACACACACAGACAGCTCATACTCAACCAAGTTTACATACCATACCATACCATACCATACCACACACACACACACAC